GGTATTTTATGCTTAGGAAAACCATCCACTTCTTTTTTGAGACAGGGTCTTACTGGCCCGGAACTCATCAGTTATGTTAGACTGGCTGAAGCATCCAGCTCCAGGACCGCCCTGTTTCCACTTCCCCAAGTGAGCACTGCCATGCCTGACATTCTTATGTGTAGGTACTAAAGACTGACCATGGGTCCTCAGGCTCCCAGGGCAAACAGTTTTCTGACTGAGCTCACTCCTCAGCCCTAGCAACTCCTCCCCAAAGGCTTTAAAGGTCCTACTACCTCCTCTTACCACACAGTTCATATGAATGAAGGGAGCCACATCACCACAGGAGGCAGTGAGCCATGCAAAGAATTTCAGATGTGAATATCTGTGGAAGAGTTAGTCCACAGAGGGATCCTACCTAGGAAGTGCTAGGAAAAACAAGGAGCTTGCATGGGTGAAGCTTAGGACCCGGAGGGTGAAATAGCCAGAGAGGAGGTGGGCAGGGCCAGAGTACACAGAAGCTTTTGTAGGGCATGGGATGAGTTTGATTCTACTCTAAGACAGGTGGCCACCAGTGTGTCTTAAACCAAGTGGTGGCAGGCTAGGACCTGCTTGCAGCATATTTGTTTTGGCTCAAGTGTTGCAAATAGACAGATGGGGTGAGGGAGGAAGTGGGAGACAGATCAAGAGGGGTCCACAGAATCAAGATGAAAGGTAATTGGCGTTTGGTGGCTGGAAAGGGAATGAGAAATTCGAGGCACATTTCAGATAGAACTGGTGGACTTGTGTGACCAGACGGTCTGCCAGATATGAAGAGAAGATTTGGGTCTTCAAGGTGGGGAATCCTTGTGGAAGACAACTGTGAGTGGAGATCAGGTAGATTAAGTTTTGACATCTAAATTCAACATTGCTAGAAACCCAGTGTCTTAGTCAGGGTTTCCATGGCTGTGAAGAGACACCTTGACCACGGCAACTCTGATAAAGGAGACATTTACCTGGGTGGCTTACAGTTTCAGAGGAAGTGGTCTGGGACACTGGGCATGGCTTGAGCATATATGAGAGCTCACGGCCCACCTCCACAGAGACACACTTCCTCCAACAAGGTCACACCTACTCCAACAAAGCCACAACTCCTAATAGTGCCACTCCCTATGAGCTGATGGGGGTCAATTACATTCAAACTACCACACCCAAGATGTGCAAATATGTATATGAATACCTGTTGTATTTACTGCAAATCAACTGGGTCTGTTCTCAACCTGTATTAGTTATAGTTTATGGTATTGGGCTTCAAACCTGGGACCTTAAATGTACTGAGTGCGCTAACACTGAGCTGTCCCTGTAGCCTCCTTTCAAATTAGACAACATCACAACAGTAAATACAGAAACAAACTTAAAGCTTTGAAATGAACTGGTAAAGGCAAATAGCTTGTAAAACTTACCCCTCAAGCCTGGAGAGTACAAATGTAAAATCCTGGGTAGAAACATAAAGCTAGTGAGAGCCTCCAGCCATTGCCCTCTATGTTTCTAAAGGATTTCTCACTTTGAAAAGTAAGGGATGCAATTGGCTGTGCAGTGCCCAGCAGTTAACCCTGAAAACACACATACAAGTAACATCATATGACCGAACAGGTTATATTTAGGAACATATATATGAATTTACAAATACTTACATAACAACTGATGAAGAAAAGAGACCGTGAATTTGAAGGAACGGGAAGGTGCATACAGGACAGTTTGCAGGGGGATAGGGGAAGGAGAGATGTTATGATTAAAATATAGTTTCAAAAGTAAGTGATGACAACAAACAAGATATGGGTATGGGGGCACATGAAGTGGGGAGACAGAGGCAATCAGACACCTAAAGCTTGGTCTACATAGTGTGTTCCAGGCTAGCCTGGGCTACATAGTGACACCCTGTCAAAGAAGAAAAAGTTAGAGATGTGTAGGGTGCAGGATGCACATTGGTAGAGCACATGCTTAGCATGTGACACCCTGAGATATGCATATATATATACATATACATACATATACATATATATATATATATATATATATATATATATATATACACATATATTTCTGAAACTCCAAGTGATGGCTGAAAGGGAGTGTAGCTTATGCAACAAATGCATCTTGGAACGGTGTGGACCAATGCTCCAATAGTCTTGAAGCTGTAACAGAAGACCTGCCAAAGAATGTACATTTACTCATTTAAAATTAAAGTAGCAAGCATGTGATGTGTACCATGTTAATCCCAACACCTAGGAGGGAGGCAGAGGCAGGTGGATCTCTGTAAGTTGGAGACTAACCAAGTTTATATAGTGAGTTCCAGGCCAGCCAGGCTACACATTAAGACCCTGTTTCAATAAAACTAAACTAAAATTAAGCTAAAGTTGCTACGTTATTTTTGTATGATTTATTTTGAAAGATTATCAGTGTGTGTGTGTGTGTGTGTGTGTGTGTGTGTGTGTGTGTGCACATGGAGGTCAGGGGACAACTTTCAGTAGTCTTTCATTCCCCAAAGGATCTGGGGATCAAATTCAGCTGGTCAGACTTGAATGGCAAGTGCTTTTACCAGACAAGCCATCTCTCAGGCTGAATGTATGCTTCTGTACTGTGGTATTCAGCCAGCAAGAACATTCTGAATGATCTTGCCTGCTGGTAATTAGACTGTGTAGTGCTCTCCCACACTGTCAGGGTTGGCATCCGGCAGAAGCAACAGCATCCCAAGTCTAGGCATTGCCAAGGCCGGGAGATGTCAGTGGGCAGAGCGCTCGCGGTGCTAGCCTGACCACCTGAGCTCCGATCGCCAGTGCAGGCGTGGGTCTGTTATCCCTGGGCGCTCCTCTGCTAAGATAACAGAGAACTGCTGGAAGTTATAAGGCCCCTAGCCTGTGAATAAGGAGACCCTGTCTCACAGTGGAAGGTGAGGACTGGTACCTGATGCCGTCCTCTCACTTCCACACATGCACAGTCCTCCTTTAGAGCACCCTGCTCTCAGGAAGTAACTCTCATGCAGACCATGCCTGCTGGCTGCACTGACCACGCTCCAGAGGGCGGAGCCTAACTGCCCAGGGGGCGGAGCCTGACCGCCCCAGAGGCCATGCAACTTCTCTCCTTTCAGTGAGGCCCCACCGTCTGAAGGTCCAATCAATCACAACAGTGCCACATGAGAGAAGCTTCCAGCACGTGACCTTTGGGGAGCACGGCAAATCCAAACCACAGTTATCCCCAGTCAGGCTTTTAGTTTCCTGCGTCCTTAGGAGAGACCCTGAGTCAGAAGCAGCAGGCCGGCCATCGTGGGCCCAGCGGCCCTCGAGTGTTCATTGTTTCAAGCTGTTAAACTGTGGGACACTCCTCACATTAAGTGCCTGTAGTTTCACCCACTCGGGAGACTGAGCAGCCCCTGAACCCAGGAGTGTGTGACAAGCCTTGGTCAACACCTAAGACCCTGTCTCAAAAAGCAGTATGAGGCCGAGGGAAGGCCAGTCAGTGCTCTGTCGCCTGCCTCCTGCAGCCGTGTAAGTGTAAGAGCCGCTCCTTTCTCACTGCTCTTTTCCCCATTGTCTTAAGGAGGTTGAGCAGCATCCGCTGGGCTGGAGGACCCGCTCGTTCCCGGTGGCTGTGTGTGCAGGTACTGCGGTGTTATCTCACAGCCAGTTACCAAGCTCTGAAACTCCGTATATAAAAATGTGCCTGTGGAAGCTTCTGGTGGTATATGGACAGTTAAAAGCAGGATGCTGAGGTGGTATTTGACGTAGCAGCGGCTCTGCTGTGCCTTTTAAGCAAAGGATAAAAAGCGCCATCAGGAAGGTGTGCTCTTTTCCTTTGCTGTAATAGAATCCAGCCCTTCCTTGCCCGAATGATGGTTACTGCAGGGTTCTGACGGTTTTGATGTACAAAAGTCAAAGAACCTGAAAAGACCCCAAATCTGTACAGCCCGATCAAAGACGGCAGAGAAGGGCAAGGGAGAGCAAAGGGTGAGATATTACAGAAGACAGGAACTGCACAAACCCTGCGGGAAAATGATGTCAACGCTGTGTCAGAGCCACAGGCAAGACAGCACAGGGACAAGCGTTCATGAAGGGGAGGCGCGGGCTCGCAGGGGCAGCGGCAGATGAAGAGTGTTCACAAAGGTCACAGTTGGGATGTAGCCCCACAGGGTGTAATGACAGACCCCGCGAGATGCCCACACCTTTAATCCCAGCACTCGGGAGGCAGAGGCAGATGGATCTCTAAATTCGAGGCCAGCCTGGGCTATAGCGTTCCAGGACAGCCAGGGCTAAACAGGGAGACTCTGTCTCAAAACAAAAACAACAAACAAAGCAAAAAAGAATTCTGTGAAATTTTTAAGGTGCCAAAACCTTAAGCTTAGCTAGAAGAACCAAAGAGGGCACAAGAGACGACGAAGAATAAGCCAGACAAGGACATGAGGGACAGAAAGGGAGACCTCGACACTGGAAACTCAGCTCACGCCTGTGTGACCTGATTATTAAGTAACAGACTTCAGTTCATATATTTAACAAGTTTAAAAATAAAACAGGAAAGGTAGTGCATGCCTGTAATCCTGGCACTCGGGAGGTAGAGCCAAAGCCAGCTTGGGCTACATCAGACCCTCTTAAAACAAACCAAAGAAAATTTAAAAACAGGACCTGGGAAAGTAGCTCAGTGGTAGAGCACTGCCTAGCATGCATTAAATCCTGGGTTTACTGTCCAGCATTGGAAAATAAAAGCACCAATGAAGAGGGCGGGTGCAGCACAGCCACTCCATGCGCTATGCTGTTGGATGGCTTTGTTCACTGAGGTATCTTAACCGAAACACGAATACTGGAACTTTATCCATCACAATGCTATCTTTATTTCCATGTTATCACATACAGATATTTGGTAATATTTTACACTTGATTTCAGAGCTCCCAGAGTCCTCTGCTTCTCTCTGCCTCCATATGTGGTCTATGTCTACTGAGGCGACTGTGGCCTCACAATCATATAGAATGTGATTTACAGCAGCCAGCACATCACCAAGACACCATCACTTTTTTATTTGACTGGAACAGAGACATGCTGGTCCTAGTGCCCGCTAGGGGCCAGTGCAGCCGTCTGCTCCGCGGTGCTATACTCTTACACAGACTAGTGAGTTCAGTCCTTACACGGAAGAAACAGATTTGCTGATGCCAGTCAGGGAACGGGGACACAGCATGATCAGTAGGAACAAAGTGTTTTGCGTGTCCATTTATCACAGGGTACATAAATTCTTACATCTCACACACATATTTGTTAACTAAAAAATTTATAGATTTTAATTTGGCCTAATCCTTATAGTCAGTTTGAAATTACAGCCCAATTAATTTCTGAATCCACATTCATAGTAAAAGTAAAAACAAGAGTTACAAACACAACTTGGAGCAGTTCACCACCACTCTGTCACTTTGGTATTCCTCATTTCCAGGCTAACTGCTGGGAATTAAGTAGAAACACTACATCTTAAAGCAAGGAAACATTTGTAAATACTTTTCTATAGTCAGGTAACTCAGCAAATCAATAGAATCATGGTGAACAGGTGCAAATGATGGGTATTATTGCAGGAGACAGACGCAGGTCTTCGGAGCTGATTTTAACAGAGTAGAAAACTTGGCTTCTTATCAAAAAGACAGCTCCGTTTTGTCATTGCACGAACATATTGTTAATCTTTGGGAAGAAATTCTACCTTTTTAGTTGAACAAGAACAGAGAGAAACAAAGGAAAATAAATCAACTGCATGTTTTTCCTTTTTTCTGGAAGATTTTTCTTGGGATTAACTCTGCCCTCTTACATCCTACAGGAGGAGGCTATGGCAGGTGATCTTCAGTAGATACCATGAGTCCCTTTAGCTGCCCTTTTCCCCCCAACAGGCTGAAGCCTAATTTAATCTTTTGTTTTGTTTTTATTTTGTAAAGCATTGCTTCTCTGTTTAGTTTTATATATTATATATTTTTTAATATATATGTTAAGTATTTTCAACAGTCAAGTCAGAGATGTTCTTTTTAAAAAGGCATTTTCCTTTAAAAAGTTAAGTTCCCTCCCCATTACATGCCCCCCAAAGACTTTTCTCCTGTATTTATTGCCCCCAAATCTTATTAGGTCATTAACTGTTTTTGCCAAAGGCCACAAAGAAGGTATCTGGTATGTGCACTAGCTCACCAGAAGCTAATCAATTTAAGCACTTCAGTTTGACAGACCGACCCTTTCTTTCTTTCCTTTTTTTTTTTTTTTTGGAGATGAGGACTGAACCCAGGGCCTTAGCGCTCTACCACTGAGCTAAATCCCCAACCCGAACCCTTTCTTTCTTTTTGGTTTTTTTGAGACAGGGTTTCTCTGTGTAGTCCTGGCTGTCCTGGATCTCGCTCTGTAGACCAGGCTGGTCTCGAACTCACAGAGATCTACCTGCCTCTGCCTCCTGAGTACTGGGATTAAAGGTGTGCGCCACCACCACCCAGCCAAACCAACCCTTTCTTAAAGATGGGCAATTTACTTATTTTTAACTGAAATTGAAAAGCAGGGAGAAATCCAACACCTTTCGGAAAGGCCACCCACCAAGGCTATCTCATTGTAGCAGCAGCATTGCTACACACAGTGCAAGTCTTCAAAACTACTCCAAACAGCACTTTTCCCCAAAAGGAAGTTCACTTATAAAACCCCAGCATAAAATATTTAGCTCTCCAATGAATAAACTGATACAATCCATAACTGTCTTGCGTATGGGGTAACCAGAATGTGTAGGCACGTTCTCATCTGTCACTCACATCCAGTGACATCAGAAGGTAGACACAGCTAATGTAAGTAAAAGGGAAGCAGGATAGAATGCATTTTGGTACTTGTCATTGGGAAGAATCACAGGCAGGTAATTAGGAAATTAAAAAGTGATGTAGGAAAAGGCCAGGCATTGTAAATCAAAACAGGTTTAAGGCCCTAATAGCCTATACACACTAATGGCACAAGTCTAAATTTTACATCTTGTAATTAATTTACATAACTATGATGTATATATAAATTTAAAATCTTAAAAAAATTAAACTTACTTTTACTTTTTATTTGCTCATCATTAACCTTAATCTAGGCACTTTAATCTAAAAATGCATTTTTAAAAACACATTTCAGATCTTTCTGTATAACACACTCTTAAAACTAATGCAGCCCACGTTAGGACCACAAATCAAGAAATCCAACCCACTGACGAACAAGTGGGTCATGATCTTCAAACAAAATTAATGAGGCTTTGAAAATATACAACATACTTTGCCACTGTTCATATGTTTATCATAAGGACATAAAATATATTCCCATATCATTTAAAATATTTAAATGTGTTCTATTTCTGAGAAGAAAATTCCTTTAAAACCCAAGCTCAAAGTATGAGTATTTTTAAAATTTGGACACAACAAGGCAAACTTCCAGTGTGCTGAGTTCTCTGTGGGGGAACTGTTTGTTTTGTGGACAAAGGAGAAGTTATTTGATTCTATCAGGTTTAGTTACATTTAAAAGAGGATAATTTTTTAAATTATTTTCTTGGTAAATAAATTATATTTTCGAATTTAGTATTCATCTGAGGGAAGCTGTTCCAATTTATAAAAAGATAAAAATACTTCAGCGTATTATAAACAGGACAACAGTAACATACTCTGTAGACTACAGGCGACTCTCCACAAGGCGCACACCGGAAACTGCTCAGTTTCACACATTCTGGTTCTGCCCTCCAGTCCTCGGGGAGTACAGTTTCTTTGATTCAAATACAAAAGCAAGTATACAAGCAATAAGGCAAACAGTACAGTTGAACACCACTATTGCCTACATTTGATTAAACGAAGAAGTAACCTGATGCTTAAGAATACATTTCAGGCAAAGTTAAGTATGTTGACACTAGAAGTTATAAACTCTTACACATGTGAACCACAATCGTCTTGGGTTAGTGTCTTTTCAAGGTGCAAAGCATTGAGACATATTTTGAGAATGATACTGGACATTCCAGATAGTGTGAAGACAATTAATAAATTCCTGTTGGCTTCAATTCACGAAACAGCCACAAAATACGCAACATTTCACAACTTCAATTATTACCTAAAGATTATTAAGAAGTCACTCTGGACATGTCACACATGGATTCAATGACAGCATTTCTGCATAAATACAGTATGACCATCCACCTGTGAGACTTCCTTTCTCCCTCCCTGAGTCCACATCATCAGCTCTGTGGATTCTGAGGCACACCTCACAGTAGTTACTCGAAGGTATTGGAGAGCACGCTCAGTCCTCTTCTGGTACCTACTGTACTTTGGCTTCTAACAGTGCAGTGGGCACAGTGTGGCAGTGTCCACTAGTACAAGTAGAGGCGTGCCTCAGGGCGTCCGCGCCAAGACAGGCGACGAGCAGCTCTGTGCGGCGCAGGAGTAAATGCATGAGGTCCTCCGCCAGCGTGTCTATGCTCGAATAGCGCACCTTCTCAAAGTCAAAGATGTCTTTGAGAAAGAAAAGAACTTGATTCTGGAAAATGAATAGACGAGAAATTGGTATTTATTAAACCACAATTTGTTTAATCTATAAATTGCTAATATTGGAACAGACACTGAACCGGGAGTCAGACACCTTAGTTCTGGGCTGGTTTCACATCTCATGGGCAAACTTTGATCAAGTTATTTAATCTTTTGGGTTGTTGTTTTCTATGTCTGTAGAATTTGGGCAAATACTACTTGTCCTGTTGTTTGTTGGTTTGTTTGTCTTTTTTTCTTTTCTTTTTTCTTGTTCTTGTCATTTCTTGAGGCAGGGTTTCTCTGTGTAACAGCCCTGGCTGTCCTGTATCTCTCTTTATAGACCAGGCTGGCCTGAAACTGCCTGCCTCTGCCTCCCGAGTGCTAGCATAATGATCAACAGAGGTAATCTATGAGACGCACCCAAGTACTGTGTAACTGTGAGGGGCTGTTTCCCAGTCTTTCCTGTCAGGTCGCCCCTGAGCACTGGGCCATATAGGCATAGGAAAAAAGAACCACTCTCAATAATCACAATACTTTTAAATGTATATATTTGTGTTTTAAAAAAGACATAAATGAAAAATAATAGTTTCATCTCTACAGTCAGTGGCAGGTCTTGAAGAGTTTCATTTCAGTGAATTAATACAAAGCACATTTTAAGTAAGTCGTGGACTATTAAATACTAAACCTCAACTATTATGAAATGATGGGAAAGAGTGAACTGCGAAGAGAAAACCCAGTAACATCAAACTTTAATCCTCTAGCAATCGCATGTTAAGAATTACTAGGAAGGCTTTCACAGAATCACTGCAGGGTCATAGGCCAGTGACCTGCTAGTGCCCCAGTCCACAGAAAGGAAGCAGGGCGGGAGTCAGAGAACTTGAGGCCTTTTAACCACCAGCTCTACTTTTTCCACTGAAACACACACTTCACAGCTGGAGGGTTAAGTAGACTAGAAACAAAGTAATGAGTTTTAAATGACAGTAAAATAAATACTTCCTAAATCATTTATACAAACACTGTATTACTAAAGCAAAGAAAATTTTTTAGGAATTCATAGTTCAGTGAGGCATCCACGCGTTCAAATTCGTTCTCATCTGACTGCCCCTTGAGATTTGCCCACCTCGATACTGAGGTCTTCCCTGGTCTTTTGCCAGCCAGAACAGGGTGCAGTGGGCGCTAACAAATGTTTTGGCAAACACAAGCTTCTCACACGAGGACACAACTTTAAATTCCCATGTGATTTCTTTTTTTTTTGGGGGGGGGGGGCGTGTTTTTGAGACAAGGTTTCTGTGTGTAGCTTTGTACCTTTCCTGGATCTCACTCTGTAGCCCAGGCTGGCCTTGAACTCACAGAGATCCGCTTGCCTCTGCCTCCCAAGTGCTGGGATTAAAGGCGTGCGCCACCACCGCCTGGCCCCACGTGATTTCTTATAATTTGATTTCAACATTCATATCATCTTGTCCAGAACTTGGTTCTACACCACAACACCACACAGGTGCCACTGTAACACAGCAACACTGCTCAGGACCCTAACAGGAAAAGTGGACGCAGTCCGTGGAGCTGTGGCATCTACTCTACAGTACGGCGTCAGCTCTCTAAGGCACTGGTCCGGTATATTAACGTTGGTGTTAAAAAATACCACCAATTTAATGCTGGCATTTAAATACAGAATTTAGGTGATTTTTACAACTTTATATGTTATACAAAAGTAAACAACTTTGTTTTATTTTTTTAAGGCAATGATTTGATGACTGAACATACCTTAAAGAAGCAACATAAGTCATACAGAGAATTTCTAGGACCCAGGAAGCCCCAGGCTAAGACAGGGCTTATATGCTCACAAATGGCATAAAAATGGGCGAAAAATCCATCTGAGATCTGTTGGGAAGCAAAAGGGAATCAGGTTATTTTTATCTTCTTTTTTTTTTTTTTTGTTTGTTTGTTTGGTTTGGTCTTTTGAGACAGGGTTTCTCTGTGTAGCTTTGCGCCTTTCCCAGAACTCACTATGTAGCCCAGGCTGGCCTCGAACTCACAGAGATCCATCCACCTGCCTCTGCCTCCCGAGTGCTGGGATTAAAGGCGTGCGCTGCCCCCCCCCCCCCACCCCCGGTATTTTTATCCTCTTAAATTTACTTTCTCTATTAATGAAACAAACTGCTAGGCATTGTGTGGACAGCAGTCTTGGGAACAGACTAAGTAAGGTCCCACAGGGAGACAGGCTACTGGGAACATTAATAAACGTGAGAGTAACTAAGAGTCAGCGGGTTCATATAGGTTTCATACTCTAGCCAGCAGTTCCAGATGAGAAACAACTTTCTAAAAGGCAGATTCACCTCATAAAAATACATTTTTTTTTTTTTGGTTTTTCGAGACAGGGTTTCTCTGTGTAGCTTTGCGCCTTTCCTGGAACTCGCTTTGGAGACCAGGCTGGCCTTGAACTCACAGAGATCCGCCTGGCTCTGCCTCCCGAGTGCTGGGATTAAAGGCGTGCGCCACCACTGCCCGGCTCACCTCATAAAAATACATTTTTAACCTTCCTTATCCAGGGGCTCCAGCCGGAAAAATTTCAGATTTTTTTTTTTGAATTCTGGAACATTTCTTCCAACAAGGCCACACCTCCTAATCCTTCCCAAGCTGGGAACTAAGCATGCAAAATATGAGTCTATAGGGCCGTTCTCAGTCAAACCACCACAGAGCATCCTGGGTTTTGCATTTAACTTCTACTTCCTAAAAGCAATCACCATGCTGCAGCCAAGCTCTAACAGTGCCACAGTATTCTTCCACGTAATTTTTAGGGGTATTCTGCCCACTGTTAATTTCATGATTTGAAAGTCTTACTCAACTGTAGTGACCCAAAACCTCCCTCTAAAATGGGTTTTTCTAGACAGGGTTTCTCTGTGTAGTTTTGGTTCCTGTCCCGGATCTCACTCTGTATGTTAGGCTATCCTTGAACTCACAGAGATCCGCCTCGCTCTGCCTCCCGAGTGTTGGATTTAAAGGCGTGCGCCACCACCGCCTGGCTCTAAATGGGCTTTAAGTGATTAATCACTAAATGATTAAGCATTAGGGCTTGGGATGTAGCTCAGTTGGAGGAGTGCTTGCCTAGCATGCACAAAACTATGGGTTTGACACCCAGTACCCCATAAGCCAGATGTGGGGGAACACAACTATAATCGTAGCACTCGGGAAGGAGAAGCAAGAGGATCAAGGACTCAAGTCACTGCTGGCAGCACAGGGCCCAGCCAACAACAGGTAAACACACACAGCTCTAACCTGTCCTTACTACAACTCCAACCTTAGTTAGGAAAGTCACTGTGAGTAAACTTAGTCATGTGACTGACCTACGCAATCCTGCCATATATATCTGCATTTGAGGAAAATCTCTAAGCTCACGGGTAACAGACTCTCTAGTTTAGTGGTGTATAGATCTTAAAGCTATGTCCTTAGGAGTCAGAGTCCCCGCGTCTGCTGTAGGGTTACTTTCCTGTCTCCAATTTTAGTAATTTGGCAATGGTTTGCCAAATTAAGATGGACAATCCTGTCCATCTTAAAAAAAAAAAAAAAGCATAAACAACTCTGTTTCATTGATTCTTTTGAACTGTTTTTGTTTCCACTTCATTTTGATTATCTCTGCCCATCTACTGATAGTGGGCATTGTTTGCTCCTGTTTCCCTAACCTTCAGATGCATCATTCAGTCATTACTAAGATTCTCTCTCTCTCTCTCTCTCTCTCTCTCTCTCTCTCTCTCTCTCACACACACACACATAAGAACTTAGCACTATAACCATAGGTTTCTGATATATTTTCATTTTCATTCTATTCTAGGAATTTAAGATTTTCCTTTTCAGGCTGGAGAGATGACTCAGCAGTTAAGAGCACTGGTTGCTCTTGCAGAGAGGACCTGGGTTTGATCCTCAGCACCCACATGGCAGATCACTGTGCACATACATACACATGCTCACAGAGGCCAGAAGATTTCAGGTCCCCTGGTGGTTGTGAGGTTCCTGACTTGAGTACTGGGAACTGAACTTGGGTTCTCTGCAAGAACAGTATATGCTTCTAACTGCTGAGTCATCTCTTTAGCCCCAAACAGTTTGCTTAGCAATGTAAAGCCCTTCTTCTCTTCAGACCAAAGTATTCTTTCCAGCGTCCTCTATAGAGCTGGCTTGGTGGTCATAAATTCCTTTAATCTGTTTTCGTCATAGAAAGTTTTTCTTTTTCCTCCTTTATGACTGATAGCTTTTTATTTTTTGGCTTAGTACAATAGTCTAAGACGTCACCTGTGGTCTTTCAGGACTTTTGGAACATCCATTTGAGCCACAGTGGGTCTTTAAATCTCCTCTAAAAAGCGGATGTAGCTGTTATTCTGGCCTGCCTTTATATGGGACTTGGTCTTTTCTCTCTTGTAGTTTTCAATAATGTTTGTTTGTTTGGACATTTCGTGTTTTGACTATTATATGACATGGAAAGTTCTTTTTCTGACCCCAACCATTTCATGTTCTATATGCCTCTTGCATCTTGATAGGCATCTCTTGCCTTTAATTTGGGAAATTTTCTTCTATGACATTGTTGAGCATATTTTCTGTAATTTTGACCTGCGTTTATTTTCTTTCTTCTGTGTTTCAAAAGTTTGGTCTTTTTATAGTGTCTTAAAATTCATGCAAGTTCCGTTCATGGGTGTGCTGGTCAGCTGGTTGGTTTTTGTCAACTTGACACGAACTAGAGCCATTTGGGAGGAGGGAACCTTAATTAAGGGGCTGCCTCCATCAGCAGGCAAGTCTGAGGGACATTTTCTTGATTCATGACTGTTACGGGAGAGTGCTGGTCACGGCAGGTGGTGCCATCTCTAGACAGGTAGTCCTGGATGGTATAAGAAAGCAAACGAGTACACCGCGAAGAACAAGCCAGTGAACAACATTCCTCCATAGCGTCTTCTCCAGTCCCGCCTCCAGGTTCCTGCCTTCAATTTCCTTGATGGTGCCCTGTAACATGGAAGTGTAAGCCCAAGAAACCCTTTCCTCCCCCAAGTTCATTTTGGTCTTTTATTTTGGTCCAGTTCCTTTCTCTTATCTTGATATTATCCCACTTGATCTTTTAATTGGTGAAGCTTTCCACTGAGTTTTTGTTTTGTCTTTGGCTCATTGGTTAAAGAGCTTGTCATGCAAGACTGATAACCTAAATTCAGACCTTTAGAACCTACATAAAAGGCAGACACACAGCACAAGTATCTATGATGCTGATGTGTCCCTTGGGGGCGATGGGAGGAAGGGATAGGAGAATTTTCATTGAGCCTGGCTTACACAGCAGCAAAAAGACCCTGTCTCCGAGAAGATGGAAAGATACCCAAACTTCCATAGGAATACTGTGGCATATCCCTGAAGAAGCATGCACACACACACACACACACACACACACACACACACACACACACACAGTCATCCACCCACTCATCTCATACATCCACACAAACTCATACCACTCCCCGAGAGAGACAGGCAAACATAGTATGGTTTCTGGGATAACTTTAGACTAGAATTATTTCTGACAACATACACTGAAGATGCTGGGAGGACCACGCCGAGACACGCTGTGGTTGGCCTTCAGGGTCACCAACGTGGAGACACCGCTGTGGTGGCCTTCAGGGTCAGTGTTACAATGTTAGACTGGAAAACATGGCCGCGGTAAAGCAGGCCACTGGGAAAATAACAGAATAACATCTGGAACTGAACTGAAGGCCACTGAGCTAGGTTTGAGCCCTTAGCACTTACACTGGACCTTTTAAGAACTGTATAAAGTAAACAGTGGTGTTATCCTCTTTCTCAGAGATGAAGACATTGAAGCGTCAAGATGAAGCAGCTGGCCAAGGTCACACTGTTAGTGACATTTCAACCCAGGCCGTCACACTTCAGAGTCAACACGCTTTACCACCAGCAGGGTGCAGTGAGAGCAGTGCTGTGTGGGTAAGATGGACCGGAAGAGACATGGGAAGACATGTTCATCACAGATGTAGGGCCCCCATGGTTTATTAGTGCCTTTCTGACTGAGGAAGCCATCACCTGGCCAGGCCGAACAAGCTCCTGTGAGGGTGTACTGCTGGAGAGCAAGGCTGTCCTTGATTTCCCTCTTTCCACACAGGCCTGCTTGTTCTGCGGGTGTTGGCGCAGCACAAAGCCTCTTGGACTCCGTGGCCTCACTGTGGTCTGGATCCGCCTCCCTCCTTACACATTCTCCAGTCTCAGCGTTCAGAGCAACAGAACACGCACTAAGGCAGGGGTCCAGGGCGTGGTGTGCTTACCGTCATCTGCTGCCTCTTCTGCTTCAGCACTGACCAGCAACTCGAAGCCACAGCCTAAACACGGAGCAGAGCAGGTTGACATTCACAGCTAGTACCAATGTTTCCATTTAAAAACAGTGGTTTTTATTGGAATTCAAAGTTTCTTGGTCTAAAAATATTCCAAAGATAACAGTAAGTGACACCCCGGGTTCCTTGTATGGTTTACAAACATCAGGGGAGATACTTCACTTTTATGAAATTAAAAATTAAATACAAAGCCAGTAAGAGAAAAAGGCTGAACTCTGGAACCAAGGACCTTAGCAATTACAATGATGAACTCAACTGCTTTCTTCGAGACAGGGTTTGTCTATGTAGTTCTGACTGGTCTGGAACTCACAGAGATCCACCTGCTTCTGCTTCCTGAGTGCTGGGATTAAAGGCGTGCGCCACCACTCCTGACCTCAATGTGACTTTTTCCTCATTGTCTGTCTCTGACCATGTTCCCCCAAACTTGAGTGGCTGAGAAAGTCAGCGCCACCTACCGTTTCTTTGAAGGAAGAGTTGAGCCAGCGATTGTTCACCACGTTTTGGATGGATGTCGGCGGGTTCTCTAAATCTTCAAAGGAATCCATTAAAATAAAGTCCAGAACCACATCATAAAAATTTACATTTTTCACCTGTATTAATTGCAAGATAGAAATGGGTGTTACAGAGAGCCGAGTAAAGTCTGAGCTTTGCAATGCCAGGTTTTTTAGTTGTTCAGATTCTTTTTCTCCGCAAAGAGAAGGTAAGTACAAAACTGCATTTCCAGGGCATTGGATCCTCCCTGGCCCGCCTGGCCCGCAAGGTCAGATCAGTCTCTCCTTACTATTCTTTTCCTCCTGCTTGTGTCAGAGCGGGGGCAGCACTTGTGGGGCGTTGCTGCTCACTCACCCCAGATCTGCCTGTCTTACCCACTGGGCCATCCATCTTGCTTCATCCTTCACTCACATGCACTAGCTGCAGCCTAGTGTTCAGACAGTGTACAGATACAGTACAGCCCCCAGTAAGCACAATAAAGTGCCAAGAGCTTGCAGCAGAGGCTGATTTTGAGCTGGACATTAGAGACAGTCTCCCTGGGGGAGTGGACCTTCCCAGGAAAGGGAATTCCTATCAGACTTTAAGGCCAGGGGAAACACAATGGTGTGGAATGGAAAAAATCCCTGAAAGTGTGCCATGGTAAAGCGGTGGCCAGAAACCAGGACCAGGTCCTGTAAGGATTTACACCTATGTGAAGGACTTCCAGTTGATTCTCACAGGAGAACGGAGTTGGTGGTGATAGGAGATAGTCACAGCACATATTTTAAAGATGATTTTGGCAAGCTGGGCCTAGTGGCATGTGACTGGAATCTCAGCACCTGGAGGTAGAGGCAGGAGGATCAGGAACTCAAGTTTATCACTAGCTGCACAGAGTTCAATGCTGGGTCACAATGAGAACAACAAGAAGGTAATTTTAGCAGAAGTGTAGGTGGAACCGATAGGAGAAGAGGAATGTAAGGAGGAAAGCAGTGGGTAGGGAGTCACGGAATACAAAGCCATGAAGTCGGTTAGGAAAAGGCAACAGAGATGGAGGCCGAGATAAAGGCAATGGGAACAGAGAGAACTTAGGGGTTCAGATTTACCCAGCGTAGAGATGACTGTGGAAAAGTGGGTAAAGAGCAGGAAGGCTGAAGGCTGAGGCTCAGGCTTCTACTGCTTCAGTCCACGGAGTGAGAGCGCAGCAGAGAAGGAGCGATGCTCTCTGGGTCTGTGCCTATTGTTCCCTCGGCTACATGCCTCTCAGCTCCCTGTAAACTCACCTACAAGCTTTGACCACAGCAAGCTGTTCCAGGCTCAGCATGGACCCTCCCTGCCCAGTGCTGGAGCGGCCATTTTCTACTCAGTGATTCCTATCTGCTTCCGTGGCTGCTGGTTAGAAGCCAAGAACTGTGAGCTGGGAATAATATTTTTGTACTGTTGCTGCTCCTAGTCCCCAACATAACCAGAGCTAGGAAGTGTTTGTATACCCAAACCTTTCTGTCTGTGTCAAATCCTGCTGCCATGTGTATGTTATAGTCTATGAATCACATGTAGAGTTGCAGTTTACGTTCTCGGCTTTTATACCTTCCCTGACAACAAGAACCTGCCTCTGATTTTTCTCGGTACATTTCTTCTTCAGTCTGTCAGAGCCTCCTTCCTTGGCTCTCCTGAGGTGCTCTGTCTCCCGCTCAACTTAGACTGCTCTCACACAGGACCATTACTGCCTTGCTAGATGAAGCAGCTGATTTTCAGATGGAAGATGTGAATGAAGAAGAAGGCCTTTAAAAATCATTTCTTTACAACCAACCAGTGTATAGAGAATGTAGTTCCCACTGTTTATGAATGTCAGAGAGAGGACAGTGCCTGCGACCACACAGCTGGATACAATGATGCCCTACCACCACACAGAAATTCTGTCTCAACAAACAAACCAACAAAAGACAAACAATGCCTCAATCAGGTAAATACATGTAGATAACAGGAATAAGGATTATATAAAATTTGAATTTACCCCTCTGGCAGCAAGTTCCATCTCAGTACTATCCCAGTGATCAGTCTGCTCTAAAAAATAGATCATTTCATCAAAAACATCTTCAAATTTCTTTGGATTCTGCAAAAAAAAAAAAAAAAAAAAAAACAACAAAACCCATATTGCAGTCTAAATTTAACTTTATAACAAGACTTAAGTCTACTAAATAAATAAATTACTTTTCAAGAAAGTTAGTTGGGTCTTAATTATTCTAGAAAACACTTTCAAAGCGTGACAATTTACCTTTTTTTTTTTTATGTCTGAAGTATCCCAGGCTAGCCTCAAATGAACTATATAGTAGAGGATGGCCTCAAAGTTCTGACCCTCTTTACCTTCCCTCCCAGCGCTGGGATTACGGATGTGCCCTATACCTGGTTTATATGGTGCTGGGATTACAGATGTGCCCTATACCTGGTTTGTATGGTGCTGGGATTACGGATGTGCCCTATACCTGGTTTGTATGGTGCTGGGATTACAGATGTGCCCTATATCTGGTTTATACAGTGCTGGGATTACAGATGTGCCCTATACCTGGCTTGTATGGTGCTGGGATTACAGATGTGCCCTATACCTGGTTTGTATGGTGCTGGGATTACAGATGTGCCCTATACCTGGTTTGTATGGTGCTGGGATTACAGATGTGCCCTATACCTGGTTTATATGTTGCTGGGATTACAGATGTGCCCTATACTTGGTTTATACGGTGCTGGGATTACAGATGTGCCCTATACCTGGTTTGTACGGTGCTGGGATTACAGATGTGCCCTATACCTGGTTTGTACGGTACTGAGATTACAAATGTGCCCTATACCTGGTTTGTACGGTGCTGGGATTACAGATGTGCCCTATACCTGGTTTGTACGGTGCTAGGATTACAGATGTGCCCTATACCTGGTTTGTACAGTGCTGGGATTACAGATGTGCCCTATACCTGGTTTGTACGGTACTGGGATTACGGATGTGCCCTATACCTGGTTTGTACGGTGCTGGGATTATGGATGTGCCCTATACCTGGTTTGTACGGTGCTGGGATTACAGATGTGCCTCTAGATTTGGTTATACGGTGCTAGGACTGAACTGAGGCCCTTTTACATGTCAGGTTAGGCGAGTAATCTGCACTCTCAGCCCTTCATTTACCACCGGTCACTCTAGTTTACAGAAGCCAAGAATGAGAATCTTAGTAAAGGCTCATAAAGAACTGCTACTCCAACTTTAGGATGAAAACAGGACTCCAGCAGGAGGCTGAGGTCCTTCCAGGCAGCTCTGCTCCTCCTGGAGGCACTCTGGTTCAAACCCCTGGGCTTGTCTACAGCAGGAAGGCCAACCAACTTTGATGCAGGGAGAGGAGCTTGGTCTTCAAGCTGATGTGCCATGCTGTGTTGACTCCCATGGGAGGCCTGCCCCTTTCTGAATGGAGACTGAGGAGGAGTGGATGGGGGCGGGGATAGAAGAGGGGGCGGGGAATGGGAAACTGGTCGGAATGTAAAATAAATGAAAAAAAATTTAAAAAAAAAAAAGGCCAAGAAAGCAGCCCACGATTTATATGGTGAGCTGCAAGGACACAGTGTCACCTGTGAGTCTCTCAGTACTGTGCATTTCAAGTTACTGTCCCATAGATCACTAATTCAATCACAATAGTCTTCCGAAGTAGAGTAAAATGAACGCAGTTCTGGTACACAGATGACGGAATTGAGAGTGGATGGGACTGGAGCTGAATACCAGGTAGGCAAAGGGCTAAAGGCAGGCCTGTTTGTGTTTGTTCTTTTTGTTTTTGTTTGTTTGTTTCAATCTGGACAAGCCTGCATAAAGTAAAGTGGTTCCTTCCAGTCTGAATGAAGTTCTTCTAATGTCTCTGCTTCACTCAGTCCAGTGAAGAGGAACACCAGGCAGCTCAGTCTGTCCAGGCTCCTCGCTGTTCCTCCTGACCAGGCTGGGAGGAGGTTACACCTGGTCACCGTCGCAGCTTTACCGACAGCTCTCTCCAGAGACCTCCAGATGCCACAGGCAACGATAAGTGATTAGAAACATCACGAGCTTTACACACTCTTTGAGGAGACGGGGTAGTCACATCTATAATTCCAGCACCCAGGATGTAGAGGCAGGAGAATCAGCACACATTTGAGCCTAGCTTCATCTACAAAGTGAGTTCCAGGCCAGCTACAGAACACAGAGGCTCTGTTTCAAAAAAAAGAGAAATCAGCACTGTTTGGTGGACCTTTCCAATTACTTACAAAGACCTCCTCCACTGTTAAAATTTTAATATATTTTAATCTTAAAACCTTAAAGACATATATTTCTTCGTTTGGTGGACAGGTGGCACACGCCACCGTCTGTGTGAGAGAACAGCTGCTGGGGTTGGTTCTGGCCATGTGGGTGTCTCTTGGTGACAAGGACTTGCCCTGCGGAGCTCTCTCAGCAGCACCCGGTCTGACTACTTAGTCTCCGGTCAGAGAAACCAGCACAAACGGAAACGCTGAGAACAAACTCACCTTCCGTGCTTTCACGATTAAAGCTGACAGAATCTTCCGTCCACTCTCAGCAAGGAATATCCTGTTGGCTGCTTCTGAGAGAACGACCTGAAAAATACCAACCCCGAGAGACACCAGTGACATGGGAAGGGCCCGAGACAGTTCGTGTACTCACTGGAAACGGAGGAAGTCCAAATTCACAGAGACAAAAGGAACTCTTAAACCCAGAGATCAAAAAGGATTAAGGGCAGATATATTCGAATCTAAATTCTGTTTTAGACAATTAAATATCTAGGGTGAGGAGCTGGAAGGATGGCTTAGTGGTTAAGAGCATGCACTGTTCTTGTAGGGGATGAAAGTTTGGTTCCCAGCACCCATGCTGGGCATCTTACAACCACCTGCAATTCCAGCTCCATGGTATCTGATATCCTCTTCTGACTTCCCTGGACACCTGCACTCATGGGTACCTACCTACCTGCACACACACACATACACACGTGTACACATAAAAATAATAAAAATAAATCTTGAAAAAAATTGTTTGGGTTTGGTTTTTGGTTTTTCAGACAGGATTTCTCTGTGTAGACTTGGCTGTCCTGGAACTCACTTAGTAGACCAGGCTGGCCTTGAACTCACAGAGATCTGCCTGTCTCTGCCACCACCACTGCCCAGCAAATCTTGAAATTAAAAAAAAAAATCTAAGGTAGGTTGGGCGGTGGTGGCACACACCTTTAATCCCAGCACTCAGGAGGTAGAGCCAGGTGGATCTCGGTGAGTTCGAGGTCAGTCTGGTCTACAGAGCAAGATCCAGGCCAGGCACCAAAACTACACAGAGAAACCCTGTCTCGAAAAACAAAACAAAACAAAACAAACAAACAAACAAACAAAAAAACCCAAAAACTAAGGTAAATTTTGTTTTTCTTTTTTGAGACAGGGTCTCACTATGTAATTCTGGCTGGCCTGAAACTCCCTACGTAGACCAGGCTGGCCTTGAACTCACGAAGAATGTTGCAATTAAAGGTGTGTGCCAGCAATTCTGGCTTTATTATTAACAACCTCATTCCTCTTTAGGAAATCAGTACTTTTAGGATTTAGGAAATCACTGATTCAAATTTTAAAAACCTAAATATACACTGCCTGATAACAACCAAGAGTCATTTTAAGCAGCCATTTCCACACACTTACACCATTACAGTATTCCATCTAAATACAGTGTGGCGGCCGTTTCCACACACTTACACCCTTACAGTATCCCATCTAGATACAGTGTGGCGGCCATTTCCACACACTTACACCCTTACAGTATCCCATCTAGATACAGTGTGGCGGCCGTTTCCACACACTTACACCCTTACAGTATCCCATCTAGATACAGTGTCGCAGGCCTGGGAAGGTGTGGAGAAGGACAATGGAAATGGAGACAGAGCAGTATGGAGGGAGAATAAAGTTCTGACTGCCTATCTGCCACGAGTAGCCAGAATAATGGAAAGAACTGTGCTGTGCACAGGTAGGGATGCTACAACCTGAAGGTACACAACTCCTGCCGAGCTGGGCGGGGCATCACTTAATGCTATGAGAAGTACCTGAAAAGCCTGCCGAATGCAGTGAAGTTTGGCAAGAAAATCACTGTCTCCCAGGCACTCCAGCATTTCAGTTCTATATAATAAAGAGCAGAGAGGAACTGTTAAGTTTCATTCGAGATCAAGCCTTCTACAAATCTGGACTTGAACAGGGCTTCACCACAGGACCTTAATAGAAAACACATGTCCTCTGCATACTGACAGACTGCGTAAAAAATTTACTTGGACCAAAAATGTATTTTTCCCATATTCATAAGCATTATTTAATAACTGTCACACAAAAAGAGCAACAGCACCTTAATACATTATTTAAAAATAATATATTAGGCTCTAAAGTAAGTTATTAGCCATTAGCTAAACTGGAATACTACCTCAGTACTCTGGAGGAAATTTTTCCCTCTTCAACTAGATGCATAGCTTCTTCGTAAAAAGGGCAGCGGCAGAAGGAGTCCAGGCTGTAGCTGTGCCGTACCTCTCTGTGTTCCGTGAGCTAAGAATACAATGAGTTACACTGAAATAAGAACTATAAAGAAAACCCTAGAATCTCCATATTACCAAAATATGCTAAATGTGACTAAACCCACAAAAATCACTAACATTTTATCTAACTAAAACCTAAATTCATTTTACTTCAAATTTCAGTTGTTAAAGTTCAAGGTGAGCCTGGACTAACATAGGCAAGCTCCTGTCTCAACAAAAGGCAAACAACAAAAGCTCAGGCATTGGGCTGGAGAGCTGGTTACAGGATAACCACGGTGTGCTCAGTTCCCAGCACCCACCAAGGGAGGCTCAGAACTCCTTAATTCCAGCTCCAGGGGCATCGAAATCAGTAGTTCTGGCTTCCATCGACACTTGCACTCACATGCACGTATCTACTCACAGATACACACACACACACACACACACACACACACACACATAGTTAACAATAGAATCTTTTGCAAAAATTCAGTTGTTAAAAAGAGTAGAATTGCTGGGCGGAGGTGGCGCACGCCTTTAGTCCCAGCACTCGGGAGGCAGAGGCAGGCAGATCTCTGTGAGTTCGAAGCCAGCCTGGTCTACAGAATAAGTTCCAGGACAGCTAGGGCTGTTACACAGAGAAACCCTGTCTCAGAAAATTAAATAAATAAATGAACAAAAGAGTAGAATTAGTTGGGCATGGTGGCACACACCTTTTATCCCGGCACTCAGGAGGCCAACCTTGCTACATAGTGAGTTCCAGGCCAGCCAGAGTTACATGGTGAGACCTTGTCTCAACCCAAATGAGCGGAACTTAACAAGCTTAGTTCATTTTGAATCTAACTACTTAAATCCACAGGGTGTGCAACAAAGCAGAGTGACTGACGAGGAAGAGGGTTTTTATCATCTAAAGAACACTTCAAACTCAGTGGCAAAGCCTATGAGAACACAGAAACAGACTAACTTGCTGTCGGAGGAATTCTGTCTTATATGCGGCTTTGGTTAGCTTTCACGTAACTCAAAGATAGCTAATGCTCGTAAGACTCTACGAATAGAATCTAACAACTCTAGAAATAAAATTCCAGTCTGACAGTTCAGTAAAAAACAACTGCAAGTACTATTAGATGGCCAGCTACACAGAAACCTTCTGGAGTAATTTTATTTTCAATACTAAGTAATCCACTTACTGGGACACTTTCTTTTTTAATGATGCTATGGGGAGAGAACCTAGGGTCTGTGCACAGTAAGCAAGCCCTCTCCTTCCTCAGTTATATCCCTAGGGTCTGTGCACAGTAAGCAAGCCCTCTCCTTCCTCAGTTATATCCCTAGGGTCTGTGCACAGTAAGCAAGCCCTTTCCTTCCTCAGTTATATCCCTAGGGTCTGTGCACAGTAAGCAAGCCCTCTCCTTCCTCAGTTATGTCCCTAGCTCTAAACTCTTAAAAATGGTATTACTGAAATTTATTTCCTATGCCATAATCAACCCTGGTAAAGTGCACAGCTTGCTGGGCTCTGGAACACTCAGTTATGCAACCAGCAGTGCTTTCAAGAACATATTTGTCCCTCTACCAAGAGGCCTCTTTCCCATCAGCGGTCTCCCCACTCTCCTCTCCTTGTGTCTGGAAATCATTACTTGGAAACCACAGTTTCCTACTGAGAAAATGACATATGAATGGAATTAGCCAGTATGTGGCCTTTGTGTTTGGCTGCTTTCATTTAGTGTGCTTTCAATGTTCTACCGTGAGTTCACTCATTTTTATGGATCAATAAAACTCAAATGCATGGGAGCTGAAGAGATGGACCCGTGGTCAAGAGCACTTACTGTTCTAATAGAGGACCTGGTTTCGGTTCTCAGTTCATACACTAGGCAGCTCACAACCACCTGTGACTAGAGGTCCAAGGGATCCACTGTTCTCTTCTGGCCTCCATGGACACCAAGCAGCATGTGGTACACATACATACATACATGCAGGTTACTCACGCACACACATAAAATAAAATAAAATATGTAGATAAATCTTTAAAAACACAAAACTCTGGTGAGTGGACATACCACATTTTGTTTATATTTCCTCAGTGATGGACACTGGGTTTTCCCACTTTTGGGGGATCATTAACAGGCTGCTATGAATATTTGTGTACAAGTTCAAAAACACATATGTTTTCATTTTCCCGGTATATAAAAATAGAAGGGTCAGATGGTAAGTCTGTGCTTTACTGTTTGAGGAAACCCCAACTGTTCTGCAAAGTGGCCATGCACGCTCCCAGCCACCACCATCCACGTTCCCAGCCATCATCCACGCTCCCAGTCACCACCATCCACGTTCCCAGCCACCATCCACGCTCCCAGCCACCACCATCCACATTCCCAGCCACCATCCACGCTCCCAGCCACCACCATCCACGTTCCCAGCCACCACCCACGCTCCCAGCCACCACCATCCACGTTCCCAGCCACCATCCGTGTTCACTCATCTTCTATAACCGCTTTCCTACCTTTATTATAACAACTAGAGCAGATGAGAACTGATTTGCATTCCAATATGACTGATAATATTAAGCAATTTTTCATCTTATTGGCCATTTGTATATTCTCTTTGGGGACATGTCTATTCAATTTCTATTTAATTTGCCCATTTTTACATTAGGCTACTTACCTATTTAGTATTTAATTGTAAGAGTTCTTTATATAGTAGACATGCAATACTTTTTTATCAGATACATAATCTATAAACATTTTTTTCTTGTTTTACTATCTTTATATGATTTTGGTGTCTTTGTGGATAGCAGATCTCTGTGAATTTGAGGCCAGCCTGGTCTACTTAGGGAGTTCCAGGACAGCCAGAGCTATATAGTGAATCTTGCCTCAAAAATCAAAACCAAACCAAACCAGAAAGAAGACAAATGCGGAGAACCCAGCTGTTGGAAGCTGCCACACAGGTCAAACTGTGACTGTTCTTTCCTGTGGTGGCTGAGCGATGGTGCAGAGACTACATGGTAAGACTTGGCTCTTCAGCTCCTGAGAGACACCTGAATAAAGGGGAGCGCCACAGCTCACTGCTCCTCGGAAGAGCCTGCCGTTATATGAATAAATGCCGTCTGGACTGGCAAAGTCTTCTCAGAGGTCTGGAATTTTTGTCTTCGAAAATTTATACCAAAATATTCTCACTGTTTCTCTGGAAGAGCTTTTCCGTCTTCTTCCTCGTGCTTAGGATCAAATCTTGGGCCTTGCACATGGGAAAAGCATGGTATTCAGGAGCTGCAGCCATAGCCTCTGGACATCTGCACTAGAAACTCCAGAAGCACCTTTGCAGGCTGTAGCCGCATTTCACATGTAACTGGTGCAGTGTTAAATGCTTTAAAGTAAATGATCTCACTCATTCCTTCCATCAGATCGAAAGTTGTGTAAGACTACTATTAGCAACATACAGGCAAAGGAGCAGAGATTTACATGAACAGGAAATGTGCTTTAAGTCCTATAAGCAAATCACTGAATTTAAACTCAGACATAATATTCTAGAACTTAGGCTCTTTTTGCTGTGTGTGCATGTGGAGGCTGAAGATTAATGTATGGTATATACCTGGATCATTTCCCCCTATTTTCAAGACAAGGTCTTTCACTAAACCTGGAATTGCTGCTTTAGCAAGACTGGCTGGCCAGCAAGTCCCAGGATCCCCGTTTCTAGCACCCAAACTCTGGGCTTATAGGTGCTCACACCTGCACTCCTGACACAGGTGCTCACACCTGCACTCCTGACACAGGTGCTCACACCTGCACTCCTGACACAGGTGCTCACACCTGCACTCCTGACACAGGTGCTCACACCTGCACTCCTGACACAGGTGCTCACACCTGCACTTCTGACAGGTGCTCACACCTGCACTCCTGACACAGGTGCTTACACCTGCACTTCTGACAGGTGCTCACACCTGCACTCCTGACACAGGTGCTCACACCTGCACTCCTGACACAGGTGCTCACACCTGCACTCCTGACACAGGTGCTCACACCTGCACTTCTGACAGGTGCTCACACCTGCACTCCTGACACAGGTGCTCACACCTGCCCTTCTGACAGGTGCTCACACCTGCACTCCTGACACAGGTGCTCACACCTGCACTCCTGACACAGGTGCTCACACCTGTACTCCTGACACAGGTGCTCACACCTGCACTTCTGACACAGGTGCTCACACCTGCATTTCTGACACAGGTGCTCACACTTGTACTTCTGACGCAGGTGCTCACACCTGTACTTCTGACACAGGTGCGCTCACACCTGCATTTCTGACACAGGTGCTCACACTTGCACTTCTGACACAGGTGCTCACACCTGAACTTCTGACACAGGTGCTCACACCTGCATTTCTGACACAGGTGCTCACACCTGCACTCCTGACACAGGTGCTCACACCTGCACTCCTGACACAGGTGCGCTCACACCTGCACTCCTGACACAGGTGCTGGGCTGGAACTCACATGGTCATTCTTGTGCCTCAGGCACTTAACTGAGCCATGGCTCCAGCCTCAGACCTTCCGCTCCCAGTCATCTCTACTACCTTGATGCCTTATCTAAATGTCACAGAAGCTGTCACAGCACCAGCAACAGCCAGGCTAATATAAACATGTGGCTTAGGGCCAGAGATGGCGAGTGGGTAAATGTGCTTGCATCAGGGCTGATAACCTGAGGTCGAGCCCAGGACCCCTTAGAAGGAGAGAACCAACTTCCTCAAGCCATCTCCTGACACCCTCAGGCTTGCATGGAGTTCAAACTGAGGTGATGGGGAAGGTGGAATTTAAATGTCTCGGCAGTTTATGGTAGAACAGTCACAAAGGAGCATACGGCTCCCTTCCTACAGAGCTTTAGCCCTCCTCTCACTGTCCCAAACACGGCTGCACTCTCCTGGAAACTGGCCAAGATGATTAAAGCAAGAGAGAAGGAGCAAAAGAAGAAACAAAATATCAGATACTACAAAATGCAAATGATTGAAAGAAGGAGGAAGGACGATGGTTCTCTGCAACCAGAGGAAAACCCTTTGGACACTGTGCAGCGTTACAAAGACGAAGGCTTCTTTAACTTTTACTGTAACATTATTTAGGACATTCAGTCTGACCACAGAGAAAAACCAGGTCAGTTCTGATCTCAATACTATAGCACTTACTGGCTAGGAAATAGATGTGGTTGGTGTTGGAGCTGAGACTGCTACATCTTGCAGGCAACAGGAAGTTGACTGACAGTCACACTGAGTGAAGCTTGAGCAAGAGACCTCAAAGCCCACCCCCACAGTGGCACACTTCCTTCAACAAGGCCACAACTCTTCACAGTGCCACTCCCTTTGGGAGCCATTTGCTTTCCAACACCACAGCTGTCTTTGAGTACAACAGCCCATTACCATCTCAATCAGAGAAGGTGTAATTTAATTGCGCATCACTGACCCTCAACAGGGTCAGACCTGTTGAGGTTCCCTCAAAGAGAGGACTGAATGAAGAGTCATTAGGCCTTCCTGGGGTATTCCAGCCGCTCCTCCCTGTACTCCATTCCCATGTCATTCTGCACCAGCTCCATGTGGTTTCAGAGGTGCTAGGGCATACCAGAAAGAAAGTCGTCCGAAGAGGGGCTCTATCCATGCAGCTATGGGGAGTCATCATCCACGCTGAGGTGAGACATCTCAGTGACACAGCTGTATTTTTGGGGGGATGGGTCTCTCACAATCCTCACACGTATTTTCTGGAAGCAGGCTCAATAAGCTCTTTGGTTCAATACCTAACAATGGGGGGAAGTTCTGGAAGCTATAGGAATGGCACATGCCTAGAGTCCCATAATATTAGCACTCAAGAGACTGAGATGGGATGGCTTTCAGTTTGAGGCCAGCCTAGACTATGTAATGGAAGCTTGCCTCAATTTTTTTAAATATTGGAATTATAAAATAATGTTGTTAGTCCAATTATGAATATACTAAAAAATACCAAATTGTATATGTTCAAGAGTATATATTATAGTATCTCCATAAAGCCATTGGTTATGATGAGACAGAATTTCATTATCCCAGGCTGACCCCAAACTTTACAAGAATGGCTTTTAACTCCTGGTCCTCCTGCCTCTTCCTTCCAGGTATGCTGTTTTCCGCCGTCAGAGCAGCTGCACCAGAATCTACTGCTGTTTCAGCCTGAATGCGGCTCTGCAGTAATTGGCCACAGTGGCTTTTCCATCTCCCCGGATACGCCTCGCTACTACTTCCTGTGTGTCTCTCTATCCATCTTCCAGACTCCCTCTGACTCTCTATGATTACTTCCTGTCAACTAGCTGCTGGCTCTGCCTCCTAATCCAAGGTTGATTTTATTTAATTAATGCAACTTCAAACTCAGGGTTCACAGTGTGATCGAATTTCCCCCAAACAGGTATGATTACATTTCTCAAAAAGAACCTTCAGCTGTCACTGGAAACGAGCTAAATCAACGTGCAGCAAAGCTTACATACAGGAAATTTTGTCAATCACTTTGTCAATGATTGGCCTAGTTTATAGAGAAGCGCAGTGCAGTAATTGTTTTATTTTAAACGGGCCAAAAAACCGATTAATTCTGAATAAACCTATCAAGTTATCACATACTGTTTAACTCCTCAGGATTCTGATCCATCCTTCTTTCTTTCTCTCTTCCTTTCTTTCCTTTTTCCTTCTCCTGAAGCAGGATCTCACTATGTAGCTCTGGCCTGGAACTCCATCTGTAGACCAGGCTGGCATTAAACTCAGAAATCCACCTGCCTCTCAGAGTACTAGGGTTAAAGGTGTGTATCATCATGCCCAGCTACATTTCTTACAAAAGAATTTATCTTGTAGCATATTCTGAGTTCATACATTTATACCTTAGAAGCAATGCTAAAATATTTCTTGATTATTGAATCCTTCTTATATATATTCATGCATTCTTTCCTATGAGAAGTTAAAAAATGTATTAAACCTTTGTAATCTAAACAGTAAATTCAAGTGCACCTGATGAACACCTGAAGAGATGTTCTCTGTGTGGTAAGCTCTGGTCCAGCACCTGGTGTGTGGTGTACAGACATTACACCACCACCAACATGTTTCCAAACTAAAAAGTATTTTCAAATTATATATTAGAAAGGAGTTTAAGGAAAATATTCTGAAATTGTATTGTGTTTGGGAATTCTGTCTACATGTGCATCATGTGCGTGCCTGGTACCCACAGAGGCCAGAAGAGGGTGTTGAGTTCCCTGGGACTAGAGTATATTTTATGGTATCTCCATAAAGATATATATTTGGTTGGTTGTTATGAGACAGAATTTTACTATCTCAGGCTGACCTCAAACTTTCCAAGGATGTGGGCCCATGTGAATGCTGGGAATAGAATCTGAGTGTTCGGAGAAAGCACCACTCAGTTCTTAACTGCTGAGTAATCTCTCCAGACTCCAGAAAGAAAATGTTGTTAGGTTACATACCTAATTCCAGTCTCAGGAGGGTAAGGAAGGAGAATTGTGGGTTTGAGGCCAGCATGGGCTATAAAGCAAAACCCTCTCAAGCAAAAGTGAAAAATAAGATGACATAGGCAGGGTGAGAGAGATGGCCTGGTGGTTATGAGCACTGGCTGCTCTTGCAGTGGGTCTGGGTTCAACTCCCAGCTCCCATAGAGTAGTTAAAAACCATGTGTGACCTCAGTTCCAGGGCATCTGATGCCCTCTCCTGGCCTCTGTGGGTACCAGGCACATATGTGATGCAGAGAAATACTTGTAGGCAAAACACACACACACACACACACACACACACACACACACACACACACACACACACACATACACACACACACACACACACACACACACACACACACACACACACACACACGACAACTGAGCTGAATTGTGGTGCAATGGCAAAACTATCTCCCCATGAACATTGAACATATCTTACCTCTGCTGCCGAAGCAAAGAGATCTGCTGATTCAGCGTTCAAGGTGTCTTGCAGACCAAATTCATCCATATTCTCCTTCCCGCTCACATCTGTATCTTTATCTTCAAAGTGAAAAGGTGTAAAGTACAACATTGTTACTCTTTGTCTCTGACACATTCGCTTTGAGTTTAAAAAATAACTATAGTTAAATTATTTACCATACTTGGTAAAATATGTAAACACCAAAACTAGTTTAAAACAATTTATTTGCAAGTGGTCTTGCCTAAATTTGAAATATTGTAAGGTTCATTCAAATCAACTGGAAAAAAAATTTTTGAGAAAGGGACTCAGTATGTAGCCTGGGCTGTCCTGGAACTCAGTATGGAGACCAGGCTGGATTTCTACTCACAGAGATCCCCCTGCCTCTGCCTCTTGAGCTAGGAGTAAAGGCATGCACCATGCAGGTTGTGGTGGCCCACACCAGTAAGAGAAGCTGAAGAAGCAGAGGCGTGAGAAGCACGAGTTAAAAGCCAGGCAGCTACGGAGTGAGACCAAAAAGGCATGCGCCACACACTTGTATTAACTGAATTATTAACACAGTAGTTCTGGCTAATCACCGACAGGAAGCTGCTCCTTATTTGCGTCGTCTTCAAAGGTTGACTTTAGCAAACGGAATAGCCAACGAAGATCAGACATCGGTTTCTCATGTTTATTCTTTTAACTAACCACCTCAGTGGCTTTTGTTTTGCTTGAGACAGGGTTTCTCTGTGTAGCAGGCCTGGCTGTCTTGGAACTCACTCTGTAGATCAGGCTGGCCTTGAACTCACAGAGATCCGCCTGTCTCTGCCTCCTGAGTGCTGGGATTAAAGGTGTGGGCACCAGTGCTTCAGTGGCTTTTTAAACCATGATAAAGGCAACCTTTCTGGAAATAATTTATCTGGCCATACTAGGGCAGGCCGTCTGTTGACAACGCACAACACCCTGAATGTGGGTCTGAAGAGCCTCCATACCATCAACAGGAATCCATTCGATGACAGTACATTTTCAGGTTAAAACTACTTATCTATGTGATTTAGCATATAAGTAATGTACTTGCAAATGCATCATGGGTACAAAAAGCAAAGAATAAAAAAGATTCTCAATCTGTTAAACTTGTCAAACGCTTTATCTCCTTTAATAAGAAGTCAGGAATTTCCTTGGTTTCATTTATTAAAATTTCCATTCTACTAAGTCTTCCTTAAATAAATGTCATTAACTTTGCCAGAAATCTTTCAAATTTTCTTGAGAACCCCTACGTATCAGAAAAACCTTTTGTGATTTTTATTGGGAAGCAAAAATCCAAGACCCATTAATTTAATTTAAATTCAAAAGTTGTGCAACCGATTATATTTTAAGTCCTGTGCAGAACAAAAGGGATGATGTGCAGTGTCGAGGCCTCGGGTGGGTTGTGGGCAACACCCACGGGTGCTGAATATGGTCCCGTTTCATGTTTGCTGGGACAAGTGTTTACATTTTAACTATTTACCTTCTAAGATTTAAGTTATAATGTTTCATATTAGGCTTGTATTAACCTATTGAAAGCACATAACTTCTCATCTTAAAATTCTATCCAGCCAAGTATGGTGGCACGTTGGTATAACCCTAGTGATTCAGGAGCCAGCACGCTAGTTTAACCCAGCATCTCAAAAAAAAAAGAAAGAAATAGAACCCTTCTCTACCTAGCACAGCCAACAAGCCAACAAACAAACAAAACAAACCACCCCAAATCAAACCAAGAGGAAACAATGAAACCTCAGAAATTTATAGTATTCTACTAAACCAGAAAATAAAATAAGTGTCTTGGTACTTAAATGTTTGTTATTACTTTGCCTTTACGTGTGCCTGAATAAACTTATGTGAACCATCCACATGGAGATGCCCACAGAGGTTAGATGATGGTGTTGATTTCCTGGAACTGGAGCTACTGGTAGCTGCGAGCCATGAAGTATGTGCTAGGAACCACGCCCAAGTCCTCTGGGGGAGCACTTTTAACTGCTGAGCCATCTCTCCAGTCCAGTTGTTTTACACTTCTATAAATAGTTTCATAACTGGCAAATGGTACCTTTGGACACTCAATTATGGGAGAAATTCCCATAATTTTCATTTCAGTACATATAAGACACTTAAAAAATGCAAACACACACAAATGCACACACAGCCATGCACACACATGCACACCCACACATACACATACATGCACAGAAACACACACATATGTAAGCACATACACATACTTGCACACACACAAATGCACACATACACACGCATGCATGCAAACACACACATATGCAAGCACACAGACATACACACACTTGCACTCCACGTCTGCACTTGAGCTGTTAAGAGTTGGAGCTTTGAAGCTTTTTTTTCTTATCTTCCATTGTTAGTGCTGCTGGTGTAAGAAAGTACAACTCCATTATGGCGCAGCAGCTTTAAAGCAGGATTAAATTTACAGTCTGTGAACTGGGTTCCACGTGCCTGTTGTCATTGTCTCAGAACACCACTTTTATCCAGAACTACTCTACATGCACATCTTACACGGGGACTGTTAAGCCTGTTGAGCTTCATTTGACAGTAACGAGCCATTCAGTGTCATCTAGATCAACTACGGTTGTACTTTACTGAAATAAAGAAAAGAAAATTGAACAAGGCTGACTCCGTTCCAGAGGGGCTAGAATTACTCACTGAGTCTAACCCTGCTGTGGCAATGCATCATGAAAACATCGCCCACACTCTAATAGACTGGAATGTTTGCTGGACTCAGACAGAGTTAATAACGCACCTGAAGGTCACTCAAGACTGCTGTCCTACTGTGTACCCAGCCTGTTGGTATAGCCTGCTTTTAAAAGAACAATGTTACAATCAACCTTATTGCCTTGGATTTCCCGTGTAACCAACGTTTACAACCTAAGCTAATGCACAGCTGTGATCTCAGTTATGAACCATTCCATGCCCTGACAGGGCCATGTATGTGTGTCATGATAATCGTTTGCTGGAAACAGCAAACAGCCTTTTAAATGGATGTCTATGATATATGGGGTCAGCCGCAGTCAGTGACTTCATCCCTTGTGAACTTGTGTAAAGTATCCCTCATGTGGTGTTTTCTGTGCTGTCCAACAAATGCAGAGCAATTTTAGGGACAGACACATTCAGACATAGATAGACACACATACACAGTGACTGATTCACATGTGGCCTTCAGGCAGGAACAGACAAACATACAACAGACAGACGATAGAAGGCATAGGGAAAGTGAAGCAGAGAATTCAAATCTGGGCTCACTCTTGGTTAAATGACACCAAGGGGAAGTGCTTTGATCTCTCTGCAATGCCGACAAATTATTGGTGACTCTGAGTTCATCAGTAATGTGCTCTATCTACGTGCCGAAAACCACCGACTGTGACTCTCATTTCAGTGGTTGTTAGGATTCCTGAATGGCAGCTTAACGACGAGGAAGAGAAATAACACATCTGCTTCTTGGATGAACCAATAAAATGTATAGAGAAGAAAGCCAAACTCACTGTTTTCACACACCCAGTTAAAATGTACAACATTCTTTCTAAAGAGTCTCAACTCTTGACTGTGCCGCCCAAACACAAGGATAGCTTAAACATTAAAAACTAAAGCTTTCATCTGAGCAGTTTCAGAAACTGCTCACTAAATTTTCCCTATTGGCTGTCTTAATTAAAGTTTTTATTTTACTTCATTTATTTATTTTGGTTTTCCAAGACAGGGTTTCTCTGTCTAGTCCTGGCGGTCCTGGAACTGGCTCTGTAGACCAGGCCGGCCTCAAACTCATGGAGTTCTGCCTGCCTCTGCCTCCCAAGTACTGGGATTGAAGGTGTGCACCACCACTAAAGCAAGTTGGCAAGGAAGGGTTTATTTGGCTTACACTTCCACATCTTAGTCCATCACTGAAGAAAGTCAGGGCAGGAACTCAAGCAGGGCAGGAACCTGGAGGCAGGAAATGATGCAGAGGCCATGGAGGGGTGCTGCTTACTTACAGGCTTCCTCACTCCTTGTGGCTTGCTCAGCCTGCTTTCTTACAGAACCCAGGACCGCTACCCCAGCAATGGCACCGCCCACAATGTCACGGGCCCTCCCCATCCACCACTAATGAAGAAAACGCCTACAGGCCTGTTTACAGCCCATTTGTTCTGTTCTCTCTCTCTCTTTCTTTCCTTCTTTCCTTTCTTACTACCCCCCCCCCCCCCCCAACCTGCCCTGGACAAAGTGGCTTTATTTGAGAGCCAGGATCACAACAGGACTTAGGAATTAACATTGGGCCCTTCTTGCCATCTTCTCTTCCTCCTCTTCCTCCCCCTTCCCCTCCTGTTTGGACACCTTGGAGTGTGACCTCTCACTTCTCCAGCACAAGCCAAGGAACCATGAACTTCATCTCCCAGCATTCAGCCAGCTACTTCCAGAGTGGTCAGGGCTTCTGTGCCACACTGGCCAAGGGTGGCCTCATCCTCCAGCAGCGGGCTTGCCGAGAGCACAGCATGATCTTCCAGTGAGGACACGTGAGCTTTCATCTGGGTGACTGTCTCCTGGCTAGTCACCTCCAGGTTGTATCGTTCCTGGGCCCAGGCAAAAACGCCCAACCCATGGATGTTGCTGCTGCCACCACAAAGATTGAGTCATGAAAGAGCTACAGCCTGTTTTTATGGAGACATTTGCTCACCGAAGTTCCCTCCATTCTCATGACCCTAGCTTGTGTCAAGCTGACCTAAAACTAGCCAGTACAGTGGAGAAATGCCACTGTACAATGAGATATCATTACACACCTACCAGAATGTCTAAATTGGAAAAAAGAAGTGGTCATTTTTTTTTTCCTTTTACAGGAAAGGAAAGCCTAATGCACCAGTTGGGAATAACAATTGGTACTAAGTACAGAGTGTAAGGGTGTGGGGCTGGAGAGATGCTGGCTGCTCCTGCAGAGGAGGTTCAGTTCCCAACACCCACAGCATCTCACAGCCTTCTGTAACTCCAGTTCCAGGGGATCTGTCTTAGTCAGAGTTCCTGTTGCTGTGATGAAACACCATGGCCAAAGCAGCTTGGGGAGGAAAGGGTTTATTGGGCT